AGTGCCATTCCTGGTCCTCTAGTATCATAATCATAATTGTCTTACCTGAACCCCAACCATGGTAAGGCTGAGGTGGTCTCTCCATTTGTGTAGTCCCACCCTGGGCTTCCTCTATTTCAAATACCTGGATCCGCCACTGGATGGCACGAATTTGAGCACAAGTACTTGTATTTTAAGCATTTGCGTATGCCACTTCACTACATCAGGCATATCAAATAATCAATATCCTGATGAATAGGCATGTATCAGTGATCATGGAGACATAGATCTTCACCGGCCCACTCGCCACATGTAAGTTTTACATAGTACTTGACCCTTGGCCATGTTTTTAATAAAGAATGAATAAATAATACTGAATGTTGCTAAAGAATGCTTCCACTTACCTGATTGGTCCCTTAACTATATTTAATACTCCTTTTTTAAATGAAAAAAGTAAATACGATCTCTATTTAAGTGCAGCTCCGTTATAAAAAATGTTAAGCGTATATCGTTACCAAAGTCCGTATTGACACTCATAAAGCTCTCGACAATTTCCTTGAAAAGTACCCTAAAATATAACTACATAGTGTACCACGCTGTTGACAGACCAAAAGGTTTAGCATTTTATACGACAGTAATCACAATATTATTTTATTACAGAAGCTCCTGCAACAACACCGCTAGCCTTAAAAAGTACTGCATCATTGCTTTTCATGTTATGTAGTATATAGAGAGCACTACAGTATCATGGAAATGAATGCTCAAAATAAGAGCTGTCCCTCCTAAGAGTGTACACATGCACCTGTCTCTAAATATCAAGATAAATAAAAACAAATCTAACATTTTCCTTGCTGTGACCTCTACCTTTGACTTTTTAACCCAAAATATAATCATCTCTTTCATGTAACATTCCATTGAGTGTTATGGTGATCTATTAATTATTTTTGTATAATACATTATATATATACGTAGTGTATATATATAATATAAATCAAAATAGCCGTTAACACTGTAAAATTACTGTAAAATTATATATAATGCGTTGAAAGCTATGCTACACGATGTATATATGTCCTTTATTCGAACACTGCATTTACCTTTCTTTGATGATATGTATATGATTTAAACTAATTATTATATGTTTATCATTGCTATTTTCATGAATTGACAAATACGAAGATTGCAATTGAAAAATTACTACAATGTTTATATCAATCTATTAATTAATTAGTAGGATTGGATTGGATTTATTCGGTGTAAACACCAAGGATAGCCCACGAAAGTCTAGAAGAAGACTTATTTCCAGTGGGGTCCTTCTGGTGGTGATTGGACAGTACACCAGGAGACAATCCC